CGTCTGATTCGCTTTTTTCCTCATTTTTTGGTTACAGGCACCGAAGAAGGACAAGGTTCCGCCGCCGTCATCAAAGCCGGCGAAATCCGGAGGTGGAAAGCAAAAGAAGAAGGTTCGTTTCCTCATTTCCCACACTTGTCTGTTCACATCTCACCATAGATTGATCTATATTGCGAACAAAATTTAGGTTTTATTGGAATGTGTAAAGATCTGATTCATATATTCTGTATCCCAAGTACACAAATACATGTTAGTTACATTGTATATCTCTCGGAAATTGAGTTGATGTTGGAATTTTCATTGTTCTGGTGCTTAATTTGTTGTTGATTTTGAAACAAGAACAGAAGTGGAGCAAGGGAAAGCAAAAGGAGAAGGTGAACAACATGGTGTTGTTTGATCAAGCTACTTATGACAAGCTTCTCACTGAAGCTCCCAAGTTCAAGCTCATCACTCCTTCCATTCTCTCTGACCGTATGAGGGTATATACATACATACACTTCTTGTCTCTTCAATTTACTGTTTTCATTTCTCAAAATCATAGTTTGTTAGTTTGAGCTTCTATTGAATCAAGTGGTGAATATTGTTTTGTGATTATTTGTGTGATGTACTTTAGACTCTAAATAAGATCTTAGTATGAAGCAATTTTAAAGAAATGGAAGCTGTATTATGTTGTTGGAATCCTTGTTTATGTATTGGTTCGTTGCTAACATTTCGAATGTTGTAGCACTTGTAAGTTGTCATTTCTCAAGCTTGTATTGTAGCTCTGTTTCTCCTTGTTTGGTTTTGTCTTTTGATAAACATAAGGTTGTGTTACTGAATTGGTATTGTTGAAAATACAGATCAGCGGGTCTCTAGCGAGGAGGGCGATTAGGGAGCTAATGGCGAAAGGTTTGATCAGGATGGTCGCTGCTCACTCGAGCCAGCAGATCTACACTCGTGCCACCAACACCTAAGATGTTTGGTTCTTGATCCGGGCTTGGGTTCTATTTGTTTTTCTTACCTCTTGGTTTGGTTCTTCAGGGACTCAGTAGAATCTTGTTTTTCATTCCGTTTTTGAGATATATTGCTATTTAAAACGCATTGGGACTACCAAAATTCCATCTACCATTGCCTTTTTGATGCATCATACGTTTGGCGTTTTCTTCAGATTTTCTTGAACTCGGTAATTGACCGGGTTGGCTTTGGTTATTGATCAATCAACTGAATCAGTAATTCTTCGTTAATTGGAATTGGTTTTAATTGTTAGAAATTATTCAAAGTATTAATGGCCTAATTAGGATTGTAAGTTTTAGTTTGGTTACAGAATTAGTTTGGAGAAGGAAAATGCATAATTTGTATATTATTTTAGTTCCACAAAGATACGAAAATGGATTACTATTATGGCATTTACAACTTTTTAGCCTAACCATTATTTCAATAATAATTATTCATAAAATAAATATGAAAATGTCAAGCTACGTGGCAAGTTTCACTGTTAGTGTATTTGTTTAAAGGGTCCTTGTTTAAACACTTGTATACTATTTTTGTCTTGTAATCAAATGATTGTAGTGTTTATTATTTTTCTAATTGGACTTACTCTTAGTGTAAGATTGACTCAAATAATTTTCCGACAGATAGCATTGTCCAATTGAGAGATGGGGCCTTCTATCTCCTCTTCTCCTCCGTTGATCAAATGTGCCAATATTTATAGCCATTGCTAATCTAATCAGATCTTCCTATAATGGTTACAAATTACAATTTGCAAAACATCGTCGATTTCACATGAAACTTTCCCTTAGACATTCATTGCACCATCTCTAAAACTTCTAAAAAATATCGTCAAGCCATATACAAAATATGCTTTTGGTGTGTAGTAAAAAACATAATCAGACCATTTAGTAGGAATTTTCTTACGTACTATTCGATCATATGATTTATTTGGGTGTTTGAGTACAACAAAGTTTTATAATTTGTTAACTAATTAATTGTTTAATCTCTAGCTTCGAGGCAAGTTTTTGTACTTATGTGTTACGACGTGTACGGGGCTATATAGAGCGCACCTCTAGGCTGGACCAATGAGGGTGAAAATGGGCTTGGGCCCACATTACAAGCAGACAGTGAGCGCCACGTGTCCCATATGATTCTTGTAGCAAGAGTATGGGAGAAACCAGAGTCGTCCATTTCTGGTTCGGTGACGCTCATTGTCAGACATAGACACTTATGCTTTTGTTGGTAAAAAATTCACATGTTCTTACAAAAGAATATTATTTTCTTATTCAAATTTTGAAAGAAATAGATATTTTCGTAACAATTAAAAACTATAATCCGAAGATTATTGAAACTGTAGGATCCGAAACTGTAATTTCTTAGTTTGAACAGAAAAAGAGAAGATAAATTTTTTTACAGAATAAATATAGAAGAGCTCTCTCTTCACTGATCAGTTCTTCACGTTTCTTCCTTCGATTCGACTGATTTCATTGATAAATTTCCGGTGAATTCTCTCATTTGTTCGATCCTCTTCTATAGTATCTTTGTGTTTGTAAATTTATGCTTTATTCCTTTTTCTGAACATTATAAAGTTTACACCTTTAAAGGTTTCACATTTTTTTTCATTAAACCATTTTGCTATATTTTGTTTTAGCTTTAAGCAGTGTTGTATCGAAAGGTGTATCTGGTTCAAACTCATTTATGATCCAAAACTTGTTTGGTTCATGTTTATAAAAGTGTAATCTCTTTTTTTTTTGGAAACTCTCTTCCTTGCTTTTATGATTTAAGAGATTTGTTACCTGCAAATGTTGATTCCATTGATTTCTGAAGATACAGTATCTCTTGCTTACTTACAAGAGCTGATACAATGAATATCTGAGAGGCACCTTCTTAAATCTGTGTATTTGAATCACCTGTGTAGTCAAAGTTTGTTGTTCTATTAACATTTCTGTGTATTTTCACTTTACTTGTGTATACTAACAAGCTTTACGATTCTGTTCTGTTTCATTCTAGCTCAAAAAGATGGATTCTTGTTGCTACCTTGGCTTGAAGACAAACAGTGTATTGCCTAAGGACAGTTTAAAGAATGTAGAGAACAAGTTTTGGGGTGGTGAGAAGATCAAAGGAAGCTTCTTTAAACGTCTTGCTTCAGATTCAAGTTCCAAGAGGTCCAGAAATCGAAAGCTGAGGCCCGGTGTTGCTTACGCGGTTGCTACTTCAAAGAATGCTAAAGAGGCTTTGGTAAGTACATGATCAGATTCATCAAAAACACTTGACAACATTGTCTATGGAACTTGTCTTTTAGATTGCCTTAAATTGATTGGTTTTTGGTTTCAGTCAATACAGCCTTCGATGTTCCAGAGAAGAAAAGCAGATCCAAAAAATGTGGCTGCAATCATTCTAGGTGGAGGCGATGGAGCTAAACTCTTTCCTCTTACAAAGCGAGCAGCAACACCAGCTGTAACTACTTATCATTAACTGTTGTGTAAAGGAAGAAGTCTTTGGTTTTTCTGATTCTTGAAACACAAATTGTGAAACAATATTTGCAGGTTCCTGTTGGCGGATGCTATCGGATGATCGATATCCCGATGAGTAATTGCATCAACAGTTGCATAAACAAGATTTTTGTGTTGACTCAGTTTAACTCGGCTTCCCTCAATCGCCATTTGGCTCGTACTTATTTCGGAAATGGCATAAACTTTGGAGATGGTTTCGTTGAGGTACGTACAACAATATGGTTTCTCGAACGGCTTCTCGGTTTTTTTTGGATTTCATGACATAAAACAAAGGAAATCTTCTTGGAAACAGGTTCTAGCTGCTACTCAAACTCCTGGTGAAGCGGGGAAGAAGTGGTTTCAAGGAACAGCAGATGCTGTGAGAAAGTTTCTTTGGGTGTTTGAGGTATGACGAACATTAAACCTGTTCCTTTCTGATTCTTTGAAATGGTCTGATTCTGTTGATGTTTTATATTATAGGATGCTAAGAACAGGAACATTGAGGATATTATTATCTTGTCTGGAGATCATCTCTATAGAATGAACTATATGAACTTTGTTCAGGTAATAATATAATGATAACAAATTCCGCTTAGTAGTCTTAAACTATTTTTGCTAACTCTAAACACTATGCATTGGACAGTACCATGTCGATAATAACGCGGATATTACTCTTTCGTGCGCTCCAGTTGGTGAGAGGTTAGTTTCTTTAGCACTATGATGTGCTTTGTATAATTTTGATTTTAAGTTTTCTTGATTCTTATAATCTGGTTTTTGTGAATTTTCAGTCGTGCATCGGACTATGGGCTAGTGAATATTGATCGAAGCCGGCGTGTAGTCCATTTCTCTGAGAAACCAACTGGCATCAATCTGAAATCAATGGTACAGTTTTGTCTCCAAAACTCACAAGTTACAAAACATCGATAAAACGAATATTTTGCCCTTGTTTTTGATGGTTATAATGTTAATGCAGCAAACCGATACTACTATGATTGGACTGTCTCAGCAAGAAGCAGCAAAATCTCCATACATTGCATCAATGGGAGTTTATTGTTTCAAAACCGAAGCTTTGCTGAAGCTTCTGACTCATTGTTATCCGAGTTCCAATGACTTTGGATCTGAGATTATTCCTGCAGCTATAAGAGATCACAATGTTCAAGTAATAAGAAAGCTCTTTCTTTGAAAATAATTTCATGAGTTTTGTTGTAAATGATTTAATAAAACTGCTTTCTTTAGGGATACATTTACAGAGACTATTGGGAAGATATTGGAACTATAAAGAGCTTCTACGAAGCTAATCTTGCTCTTGTCGAGGAGGTAAGTTCGATTAATACTCAAAACTGTTTATAGCTTTTGATCTTATCTTGCATCCAATCTCCTAATATTTGTTCTTGTTAATGCAGCATCCAAAGTTTGAGTTTTACGATGAGGATACGCCTTTCTACACTTCTCCTCGGTTTCTACCACCCACCAAAACGGAGAAATGCCGTGTAAACATCTTTCTCTTTACGCATAAATCCTCTTCTTTTGAATGTATATCTTCAGTCTTGATTCACTAATTGGTAATGATCCCTTTGATGATTTTGCAGATTATAGATTCGATAATCTCGCACGGATGTTTCTTGGGAGAATGCAGCATCCAACGTTCCATCATTGGCGAAAGGTCACGTCTTGATTTTGGTGTTGAGCTTCAGGTGTGAATCCTCAATAAAAAAAAAAATGGACCGAGCTTTTAAGGACATTGTTCGGAAAAATGAGTCTGATTTTTTTTGATTTTTCTTGTAGGATACACTAATGTTAGGAGCTGATAGTTACCAAACCGAATCTGAGATCGCGTCTCTGCTCGCGGAAGGAAATGTTCCAATAGGCATTGGCAAAGATACAAAGATCAGGTAACAAACCGAAAAATCTCGATATATATATATATTCTTTCTCTAAAATTTGATTTCTTAAACTCTGATACTATCTTTTCATTTTACATTGAAGGAAATGCATCATTGACAAGAATGCAAAGATCGGTAAAAACGTGATGATCTTGAACAAAGATGTATGCTTTCTTCTTCTCTCTTCTTTCCGTCTTTTAAGATGAAGATTTTTGAAAGATTCACCAAATGGTTTTTTTTTTTTTGTTATTAGGATGTGCAAGAAGCTGATAGGCCAGAGGAAGGATTCTACATTCGATCCGGGATCACTGTGATTGTCGAAAAAGCCACCATTAAAGACGGAACTGTAATATGAGCAGAACGATCTTAAAACCACCGTGGATTGATCACTCTGACCAACAATCTAGTGGTGTTTTTGCCGGAAGTGAAAAAAAAGAAAGATCTTGTTATGTAAATTAGAAGAGTTTTAAGAGATTGAAAGAATCATACAACTTAAAACGCAAAAGAATGTTTAAGCTTTTACAATAAGAGTGATTGGTCAGTCTCCTTTTGATTAATAAATACATCTATCTTCCTTTTTTTCTGTTCTTCGAAATGTTCAAAAACGCATTATTCATCGAAAGAAAATGATTAATTTGACATAACCACTCTTAACCTGAAAAGTGAATACATAGACTTTTATTTATTAAAAAAAGGGTTGATTGATAATGACAAAAGATTGGGATCAAATCTAATAGAATATATTTTTAATGGTGTTTTCTTGTAAATAGATAAGCTAACGCGGAAACAAATAAAAGAAAAATAAAAACGCCGATCAAATCCTTCTCCTTTCATTTGGTGTTGCGTCTTTCGTCAGATCTGCTCGTGTTTCCGCTCCATTTTTGGATAAGCAGCTAATCGTTACTCACCTTTCGTAAGTGTTTCTTCGATCTTCTGGTTTCTGATGAACGAATCTGAGGAAATTTCTTCCATGTTTCGATCGATTTTTTAGGGTTCTTATCGTTTGATTTCTCGTCACTTGTTGGAATTTCACCGATTGAGTTTCCAGATCTGAAGTTGAACGC